TAGCAATGATGCTGTATGAACTGTATTCTGGGATATGGTGGGAAAGTTTTAAAAGTCCTTGTCACCCCATCCTCAGGGTTCAAAATTCCTCTTTGAACCTGTTGTGCAATAAACTTTGGTCTACAGCTATTTGCTCCGGTGGCTGGACTCCTTCCTTTATTCCGCAGGGACCCGCGGGCTTGTGATGGGAATTTTGAGGTCTTAGATATATGTTAAATGTCCATAAGTGTACCAACCAAGCACGTACATAGATCAGCATAGGAAGACCAACCTGAAACCATTTTGATTCCCAAACTGAGCACATGATTTCTCTGCAAGGTCAAAGTGGGAAACCTCCCCATTGTCTCTTTCCTCACAAATCCTGTCTTAAGGGCACATTTAAGATATGAATAAAATGTGAGCCCGTGACCTGGCTCAGGAACTAAGTATTTATCATTACAAAAGACCGGCCAGGCTCCCCAGGCAATCCAAACAAGTGACCATTAAACAGGTAACCTGGCAGACAGGAGGTAAACAAAGCACTCAGATTTCTGCTGTAGACCGCCTTTTCTGTGATGTAGGTATGATGTATCTGGGGGTGGTCTTGATCTATAGGGTGGCAATTTCAAAAGTCTATATAAGGCCTTGCACGCCATTGTTCTGGGTTCCTCCTCCTTTCCTGACTGTGAACAGATCAATAAAGATCAGGCTTACTAGCTGCTTTGCTTCTCAATATTCTCTGGTTGGCCTCTGTTATTTTCTCCTACCAATAGGGAACCTACGTAAGGACTCTATATGGGCTCTTGGATACCCCATAAGTGAAAAAGGGCAGATTTTGGTTTTACAAGACTTCCCAGTCCCCTGGAAGTTCAGAATCAAAATACTTTGGGCGCTGACTAACGGAGTTGCGCTCACATTTTCCAAGGATAAATCTGGGCCTTTCCAGAGCCCCTCGTGCAACGGACTTCTGCTTGCCCAACGGAACTTCCTCTTCTGTGTGTGCACCCACAAAACCGTCCCCAAACCGTTGGGGGGGGAGGTCCCTAAGGGGAGGGGAAGTCCCATTCCGCAAGGGGAACTTCGCTCGCAAAGCGCGGGACGCAGCGCGTTATTTTCCAAGGTGGAGCAGAATATAAATAAAGCAAAACCTTTGTGTAAATTAACCAAGGAGCAGGAATACACTGCGAATATTCAGCTGAGCTTTCTAGTAAGCTTTTGCATCTCACTGGTGTTGTTACGCACAGGCGACAGTTCTCTGCACTTGTGAGTGAGCTGCATTGAACTCGATCGGGGTGCCCAAAATTTTGAGAGGTCCAGATTTGATGAAGTGAACATGCGTGAGGGCCGACCAAAGTTGTTGAGCTTTTGATAGTCCGAAGTTTCTTTTTTTTTTTTTTTTTGCTGACTGAAATATGAGATACTACTATGTTTTTTACTCTATTCATACTTTTATTCCTCTTTCTTTTCTTCTTTTCTTTTTTCTCTCCCCCCCCTTTCTATTTTGCTTTATTTTTGTTCTTTTATATGTATACTCTCAAAAATGTCTGTTTGTTTGCTGGTATTGCATGTATTTTAAGACTCTGCTTGTTCAATTAAAAAAATTATATTAAAAAAGAAGAAGTAGAAGTTGTTGTTGAGCTTCTTTTTGAGTTTTGGGGGGAATTTTCTTTTTTTAGGATTTGACTACAATAAATAAACTGCCACAGGGGCTGGATAAAACTGGCCGAGGGGCCGGATTCGGCCCCCAAAACAGACTTTGGACATGCCTGAACTTGTTCGAACTTGCTCCCGAGTAAACATGGAAACTGAGGCAAAAACCAGCTATTCTGAATGTAGGCCACAATCTCATCATGAATTTAAAGCCCTGTGATTACACTTTAAGCAGTCATGGCTCCCCTCCTGCAAAGAATTCTGGGAAATGTAGTTTGTTATTTCTCTCCCAGATATATAATTCACAGAGTGGTTTAGCAGTCAATCCCTCTTCCCTACAAACTCTGGGAAATGTAGCTTTGGGAGAGGAATAAGAGTCTCCTAACAACTCACAGCACCCTGAACAAACTACAGTTCCCAGAATTCTTTTGGGAAAGCCATGTTTATATTTATGGTGTCAATGCATCCTTTGTTATTTTCCATCTCTGCATTCTTGCATACTGTTTCTAAGCCCAGGTAACCCTTTCTTTCTTTTTCCTTTTTCATCGAAACATTCATCATTTCTGTTTTTCCTACTGGCAAGAACTAAGATATACTTAGGGCAGCAACCTGCAGTTTCATCTCGGACATGTGATAAATTTAGAATTATTGTTTCAGTACGACAACGGCTGCAACTCTTTCCACACCTGCCTGGAAATAAGCCCCACAGAGCCCAGAAAGTCTAACTTCCTTCCATCTGGAGTTTACGTATTGTACTAAAGTGTATTGCAAGCTGTGTCGATGATCATTCCATCAATAGTCAGGATATAAATTTTCTAAATAAAAATATGCAGGATTTTCCCGTTTAAAAATTCCATAAATATACCGTACAGTACAACCATAGAGGCTGACTCAAGTTATTCACTATACACCGAATGTTAAGAGGAAATGTAGATATAAGAAAGGATATATTTGCATAAAGTCAATTTCCCTTCCAAAATCTGATTCTCCAACCCACCCACACAACCCACCCCTTGGGTTTTCCCCTATGTCCAGAAATATTATACATTCCAGGGTGCTTCTTAAGAACCCAACAAGTTAATTATTTACTATGACTTTATTTATTCAAAGTCTATACCACCCTTAATCAAAGGATCACAGAGCGGTTTACAACAGAAAAGCACAAAACTGTGCAACGTATTAATAAACAAACACACACACACACACACACTTACAAGTTTAAAAAGCCGCAGGTGTTAAAGTGTGTGGTGCACTTTGAACATTGAGGGTGTTTCTTCATATTATTACATCAGCGGAGGAAAAAATATCAGCTGTGGCATGAAGCCGATTGGCATGGCCACGAGATTGGCAGATATTGATAAGGGGGCAAATTTCAACACAGAGAGGTATGGTCTCCAGAAAGCAATTTCATCCTACGCTGGCTGAAGAGAGCATCCCCACCGTCCCCGATTCTGCAAAACTCAGCTGCTCCAGGTAAGCAAAGGCAGAATTCTAAGGTGCCACCTCTAGGCAGGACAACCCTTCTACGTTCCATCAGAATAAAAACCACCACCTTCCAACAAATCATTGCAACAGTCTATGTACCTTAACCACAAATACAAAGAGAAAACTCCTTTTCAGACGTCGCAGACTGATGAGTGTGTTTGGTTCTGGTGAGCTGGGGGGGGGGGGAGTGCGAAGAGGGAATAGGAAACCAGAGGGGGTAAGGGAGCGTCCTGGAAAAGGCCGTCCGGGATTCCGGAACGGAGAACTCGGTGTTGCAACAACTCTTGCCAGGTGTGAGGGCAAAGAAGCTCTTACCAGGGGGTAAATTAGAGCATGGGTAGACAAACTAAGGCCCGGGCGCCGGATCCGGCCCAATCGCCTTCTAAATCCAGCCCGCAGACAGTCCAGGAATCAGCGTGTTTTTACATGAACAGAATGTGTCCTTTTATTTAAAATGCATTTCTGGGTTATTTGTGGGGCACAGGAATTTGTTCTTATTTTTTTCCCCAAAATATAGTCCGGCCCCCCACAAGGTCTGAGGGACAGTGGACTGGCCCCCTGCTGAAAAAGTTTGCTAACATCTGAATTAGGGCATGGGTAGGCAAACTTAAGGGACGCGGGTGGCGCTGTGGGTTAAACCACAGAGCCTATGACTTTCCGATCAGAAGGTCGGCGGTTCGAATCCTCGCGACAGGGTGAGCTCCCGTTGCTCGGTCCCTGCTCCTGCCAACCTAGCAGTTTGAAAGCACACCAAAAAGTGCAAGTAGATAAATAGGTACCGCTCCGTCGGGAAGGTAAACGGTGTTTCCATGCGCTGCTCTGGTTCGGAAGGCTTAGTCATGCTGGCCACATGACCCGGAAGCTGTATGCCAGCTCCCTTGGCCAGTAAAGCGAGATGAGCACCGCAACCCTAGAGTCGGCCACGACTTGACCTAATGGTCAGGGGTCCCTTTACCTTTAGGTAAACTAAGGCCCAGGGGCCAGATCCGGCCCAATCACCTTCTAAATCTGGCCCGTGGACGGTCCGGGAATCAGCATGTTTTACATGAGTAGAATGTGTCTTTTTATTTAAAATGCATCTCCAGGTTATTTGTGGGGCACAGGAATTCGTTCATTTCCCCCCAAAAATATAGTCCGGCCCCCCCACAAGGTCTAAGGGACAGTGGACCGGGCCCCTGCTGAAAAAGTTTGCTGACCCCTGAATTAGAGGCTGCGGCCCTGGCAAACACCACGGACACTAAGAAGTTGAGAACAAAAGCAATGGCAGCTGCGCCCAGCGGGGCCCCATCCTGATCAACGTTTTACACAATGGTCAGCAAACTTTTTCAGCAGGGGGCCGGTCCACTGTCCCTCAGATCTTGTGGGGGGCCGGACTATTTTTTTTGCGGGGGGGGGGGGGTGAACGAATTCCTATGCCCCACAAATAACCCAGAGATACATTTTAAATAAAAGGACACATTCTACTCATATCAAAACACGCTGATTCCCAGACCGTCCATGGGCAGGATTTAGAAGGCGATTGGGCTGGATCCGGCCCCCGTGCCTTAGTTTGCCTACCCACGGTTTAACAGAAGGGTGACAAAACCCTCCAGAGGAAAGCATGCCGTCCTGAAAAGCAGGTGTCAATATGTTTGCAGTGGAGTTGGAGAAAGCAGTGCCTGCAGCAAAAACAAGCTGCGCTCCTCCGCTGCGGCCACCAAACTAGTTTTCAGGGAAATCCCCAGCGCTCAAGGCCAACAACATGGCCCGAAGGTTTTCCAAATGCAGCAAAGCAATCCACTGCGAGAGATGGATAAGATACCAGCCCTTCACTAAACCGCTGCATTTTCCTTCCAATTCCCACCATTCAATGAGCTTTGCAATAAATGAGACTCCAACGACCCTACCTTTGCCTAGGCACTGGGATGTAGGCTGAATGATGCAGGGGGGCCTGATCCAGCAGTCGGAGTGCCGCCGCCTCATCCTCCAGCCGCTTCGGCACCAAGGGATCGGACAGGTGCCTCGGCCTCCCGTTGATCGGCTCCGCTTCCGCTGGAAGCCACTTCCCACTGCAGTGGGCAGGACTCTGGAAAAGGACACAGAGGCGTTTGATGCCGGACGCAGGTAGCAAATCAACAGCAACAGCTGGCCATAACCCTTGAGAGAGTTTGCCCAGCTCCTTTCAGCCCAATAGAATCGCTTGCCACCACATCCTGTCCTGTGGCAGTGAGTTCCGCAGATCAACGTCACATAGCACAGTGGGGTAGCGAAAGGTTGCTACCTTATTTTGACATCCAGCTCTGGGCCCCAAGATAATTGTGATGAAAATATCTGTTTCTCTCTCTCCTCTTTTACAATTCAAAGTGTTGGTGCTGACCTTTAAAGCCCTAAACGGCTTCGGTCCAGTATACCTGAAGGAGCATCTCCACCTCCATCGTTCTGCCCGGACACTGAGGTCCAGCGCCGAGGGCCTTCTGGCGGTTCCCTTGCTGCGAGAAGCAAAGCTACAGGGAACCAGGCCGAGGGCCTTCTCGGTAGTGGCACCCGCCCTGTGGAACGCCCTCCCACTAGATGTCAAAGAGAACAACAACTACCAGACTTTTAGAAGGCATCTGAAGGCAGCCTTGTTTAGGGAAGTTTTTAATGTTTAATAGGTTTTGTATTTTAATATTCTGTTGGAAGCTGCCCAGAGTGGCTGGGGAAACCCAGCCAGATGGGCGGGGTATTATTATTTATTATTATTATTACACGTGGCCTTGTATTATTTATGTGGTTCTGCTTGTACAGTGGTACCTCAGGTTACATACGCTTCAGGTTACATACGCTTCAGGTTACAGACTCCGCTAACCCAGAAATAGTGCTTCAAGTTAAGAACTTTGCTTCAGGATGAGAACAGAAATTGTGCTCCAGCAGCGCAGCGGCAGCAGGAGGCCCCATAGGCTAAAGTGGTGCTTCAGGTTAAGAACAGTTTCAGGTTAAGAACGGACCTCTGGAACGAATTAAGTACTTAACCCGAGGTACCACTGTATTGGTGTTCTTTTTAAAAAAAGAACACCCCCCCGCCCCCCAGTCATGCATGTGAACAGCCAGGAAGGGCTTGGCTCTGTTCTTAAAGCTCAGGAGCCCTTGGCTTTATCTTAGATAAACACAGCAGGTGCAGACAAAAGCAGGGAGGGAGCCTGGCCTTATTGCAACTGAAATCCATGCTACCCCAGCCAGCAAAGCCCGTTCAGGACTGATAAGCGTGTTCTAACATGGAGGCCGATTTCTCTTCTGCACTCGCGCTAAAAATCTACTCACACCAGGCAGCAGGAGAGGAAGCTCAGAAACAAGGACGGGCAGTTCAGCTGCACCTCCGGGGTCTATCAATCCATCTATCTTTATGTGGATAGGCTTTTGAGCTCAGTAATCCTTTAGAACACCAATCCACTTCTGAAGGGGCTGGCCAGGAAAGCCAGAGTCAGCTAAACTACAAACTGCTCCCTTTGCTGTGGCTTTTAAGTTCTGGTTTGCAAGTCTAATAAATGCCACAAATATTGAGCAGCTTCGCTTTAAGGAACCCGGCAAACCTGTGACAAAACTGCTTTTGCAGAAAGTAGTAAGGAATAAGCCAACATATCAATTGGGGGAAAGAAAGGCCTGGGTGATATATCAATATATCATCCAAAACAGGTTTGAAGTCCATATTGTGATACAGTGGTACCTCGGGTTACATACGCTTCAGGTTACAGACTCCACTAACCCAGAAATAGTACCTCGGGTTAAGAACTTTGCTTCAGGATGAGAACAGAAATCGTGCTCCGGTGGTGCGGCAGCAGCAGCAGAGGCCCCATTAGCTAAAGTGGTGCTTCAGGTTAAGAACAGTTTCAGGTTAAGTACAGACCTCCGGAACGAATTAAGTACTTAAGCCGAGATACCACTGTATTGGTTTCACAATTTTGGGCCTGGCAATATATCGCGAATCATTGGGGGGGGGCGTGAATGCAAAAATCACAATGTGGGGGAAAACAGGTCCTGTTAACTGCGCCAGCTCAGCTCTCCCCTCTCTCCTGCAGGAGGCAGCGAATCACAAGAGCAGGCGCTGGCAAAATCACAATGCGGGGGAAACTGTCCAGCCAGCCAGTGCCTCTGCCTGGCTCCACCCTAATTTCAGACATCGTGATACAGTCATACCGAGTGTTGCGTTTGCTTCAGGTTGAACGTTTTCAAGTTGCGTCCCACGGCGACCTGGAAGTACTGGAAATGGTTACTTCCGGGTTTCGCCGCTCGCACATGCACAGATGCTCAAAATGAGGTCACACGCAGAAGCAGCGAATTGCGACCCACGCATGCGCAGACGCGGGTTGCGCTCTGCTCAGGTTGCGAGCGGGGATCCGGAACGAATTAAGTACTTAACCCGAGGTACCACTGTACAGTGGACGCTCGGGTTGCGAATGGGATCCATGCGGGATGCACATTCGCAACCTGCAGCATTCACAACCTGCGCCTGTGCGTCTGCGCACGTGCGGGTTGCGATTCAGCGCTTGCGCAACCGCAGAAACCCAGAAGTAACCCATTCCGGTACTTCCCGGTTTCGGCGGTCCATAATCCGAAAAATGCAACATGAAGCGGCTGTAACCCAAGGTATGACTGTATTGTGATGTTTAGCTAGTGGTACATGCGATGTTTAGCTAGTGGTGTTGAAAACCAGATATTGCCCAGACCTAGTGGGGAACTGCAGACCCTGCAGCTGAATGTGCCCCCCCCCCGATGCTCTGTCCGGCCCTTGACACTCTCCACAGGCCACCCCCCACACCAGCCATTGAGGGCGGCTGGGATGGGTCCCAGAAATCTAAAAAACAAAACAAAATCCCATTGGCCAGTATGTGTAGAAACTAGGCATTTAACTTGCATTCGATGCTCCACCTGCTTCCTCCCCCCAGCCCTGCTCAACCCCAGCATGTGGCCCCCAGACGTGGTCTGGAAGGGAATGCGGGATTCCCCATCCCTGGTATCAGCCAGCCCAGGTCAACAGGAAAGCCCTGGATTGCAGCAGTCTGAGAGCAAGGCTGTGAGAAATGATACACAGTGGGTAAACCAGCAACACCTGTCTGGGCAAGGGCTGCAGCAAAACATTAGAGCACACACCTTGGATGCAAAAGGTCCCAGGTTCCATTCCCAGCGTCTCCCAGTAGGACTGGGAGGACACACCCACCCCACCCTCCTGTAACCTGCAGAAACTATTGCTACGTCACTTGGGGGTGGGAGAGCTGGGAACAAGGCTCCTTCCACCTGCTTTGCAAGAGGTCCATCAAGCATATCCTGCACCTGGATATTATAGGAACAACTGTTCAGATATTGTTGCCTGGGTTTTTGTTTTCCTCTTCCCTCCCTGATCCTCTCTCCTTGTGTGCTGTGAGTTTTTGGTTGTTGTTTTTTTTAAAGATTGTAAGTCTGCAGGGCAATTGTTTTACTATTTATTTTGTGCTTCTATCTATCCTGTATTTTTATCTTGCGAACCATCCCGAGATCTTCAGATGAAGGGCGGTATATAAAGTTTGTAAATGATGATGATGATGATAGCTGCTCTGGGAGCCTTATTGGCTGAGGAGCAGGTTACAAATGCTCTAAATAGGCAAATAATAAATGTACCTTCCCTCCCCCACCCCGGTCTTAATTCCTGTCCTTCATAGCTTATCTCACTCTGCACTAAGAGATTACTCGTAGACAACACCAAATTGGAAAACTCTCCAACGCTCAGCTGCCACCCTGCAGCTCAAACTCAGACGAACCCTTTGCTTGTTGACAGAGGGCATCTGCTGGTATGAACTCAATGCTGCAAGGAGTCAGCTTCCCAGAGAGCTTTCTTTTTTTAAAACGGGAGAGCGAACCAGGGCTGCATCTGTCTACAGAATCCGACCATTGCAGCAGACTGGACCTCTCTGGACCGCCCTCAGCACCGGTTCCAAAGTTCTGACCGGTGATGTAGGCGCCCTTGCACGTCCAAGCGGCGGTCGTACAATTCTAGAACCTCAACTTTAACAAAACAATTAAAAGCACACCGCCAAGTTTCTAGGCCTCATGACTACGAAGCTGGTGAAACCTGTTGCATGTCAGGTTAAGGCTGGAGTAAGGATACAAAGGCGAAATTTCAAGGAAGTGTGCATGACTCTGCCTCCAGCCTCACAGCCAATTATTCCACACCATCTTCCCACTTTTACAAAAGCCCAGGGAGAAAATGTGTGTCCCAGGAGTAAAACACAGCAGCGTCCATCTAGTGGACATTCAGTGGTACTGTTGACCTGCTAAAATAGGAGCTAGAATCCCATTTCCATCTGCACCAGCAGGCAAGGGCAATATAATGTCCCAAACTGGTTTTGAAGTCCATATTGGTTTCATGATTTATATTATTTCAGATCTGGATATATATTATGAATCATGGTGTGTGAGTGTGTGCAAAAATCACAATGCGGGGAATACCATGCAGCCTCCATCCTTATTTCGTACATTGTGATATATCAATATATTGTGATGTTCAGCTGGTGAAAAACTCGATGCTGAAAAACATCACCCAGCCCTACCAGGGAGGATGGAAGTTAGGGGGCAAGAGGTTGAAAAAGAGACACCCCCCCCAAACACACACACAAATTGCTTTAGGGGCGGATGGAGAGAATCAGAAAAAGGGTGATATTTGTACTAGTAGAATTATAATGTTTTCAACAACACACCACAGCACTGTCAAAGAAACGTTTGGCTTAGAGTGTTATTAAAGATTTAATAGGGTTGCTTATGTTTATAGGTGTGTGAAGATAAACACACATCGCGTATGTGTAATATTAATTACAGTAACTTTTTTGTTAGCTTCAGCCCAATAGCATCTGAAAGGTAGCAGATTCTCCACTCTTGCACGAAACCTTGCTAATTCTCAAGAGCACCCGGCCTCCACCCAAAAGATAGCAAGGTTTGGGTGAACCCCACAGGCCATGGCTTCCATCGCACTAAATCACAGGGACCCAGCCCCAGCCATGAAGCCCCAACGAATACCACTGGGGCTGGCCTTGGGGTGCCTGTTAAAACACCAGAGCCATCGGCCTCCCATCTCTGCTTGGAGACTCTGAGACACGGCGGTTCCCTAAGAGAGCGATTTCAGCCATGAACTTTGCCCCTCACTTCTTCGGGGAGGGGTGGGCAACCCTCACCATTCAGAGAGGGGTTGCACCTCAGTGACAGAGCACCTTGGCCTAACCCTGTCTACACACTGGTAACCTTCTAGATTACTGCAATGCATTGTACGCAGGGCTGCCTCCGAAGACGGTTCAGAAGTTTCAGCTGGCGCAGAGTTCGGCAGGCCAGGTTGAACAAGGCGGCTTGAGCATCTTGCACCGATTCTGGCCCAACTGCAGTGGCTGCCAATTAGTTTCTGGGCCCAATTCAAAGTGCTGGGTTTGACCTACAAAGCCTTAAATGGCTCAGGACCGCCATGCCTCAAGGACCGCCTCTCCCTCTCTTCCGTGAGAGGTCCAGAGGGCGGCAACATGAGAACGGGGCCTTTTCTGCAGTGGCTCCCCGTCTGTGGAATGCTCTCCCCAGGGAGGCTAGCCTGGGACCATTATTCTTATTAATATTATTAATAATAATAATTTCTATCCCACCTACCCGGCTGGGTATCCCCAGCCACTCTGGGCGGCTTTCAACAAGATTAAGAATACATTAAAACATCAGCCATTAAAAACTTCCCTAAACACACATTATACGTCTTTAGGCGCCAGACGAACATGTTCTTCTACAGTGCGTCTGTGGGAAGGGCGGGGGGCTAAATTGTTTTGTTCTTTTTGTTTTAATGATTTACTTGTTTTTAACTTGTATTTTACTCCATGAACCGCCCTGAGATATTGTGGTGAAGTGTGGCATATAAATTTAATAAATTAATGCAAATAATAAAAATAAATAAACTCCCAGTCTAAAATCCTGGAGAGATGCAACCACACCGTGACAAGGAATGGGGAGCCTCTGGCCCTCCAGATGTTACTGGACTCCAACTCCCATCAGCCCCAGCCTGCAGGGGTCAATGGTCAAGGAATCGGGCAAGTGTGGCCTATCAGCAGCTGGCGGGCGACACATTCCTCATCAATGGCATAGGCTCCATGGAGCTGAATGGACGAGTGATATGACTCTACATAAAACAGATTCCTGGAACATGTTCAGGAAGGATTTCCAAGAAACATGGGAGCCCCAGCTCATTGGAAAATCCCTCCCAGCTCCCCTCGGCTCTTGAAATTTGCCTAGACACTTTCAAGCCTGTTTTGACTTGTGCATGCCCCCCTACAAGTGATGTTCAGAAGCTGGAGACAAAGGAGAGGTCTTTTTGGTGGTGGCCCCCAATCTGCCTCATGTGGAAGAGAGTTCCACAGTTTAACAATGCGCTGCTCAAAGGAGGATTGTCTTATATGTCCTGAATTTTCCAACCTTCAGCTTCCTTTAATAGCCATGATTTATAGTATAACGATGGAGGAAAAGCTTCTTCTATTTCCACCTTCTACATGCAGCGCATACTTCCACACACCTCTACCATATCCCCTCTTATTCGCCTTTTCTCTAAACTAAAAACTCCCAGACACTGCAACCTTTTCTCACTCCACCAGCTCGATCATTTCGCTTGCCCCTTTCCAACTCAACAATAATAATAAAATAATAACAATTTATTATTTATACCCCGCCCACCTGGCTGAGTTTCCCCAGCCACTCTGGGCGGCTCCCAATCGAGTGTTAAAAACAATACAGCATTAAATATTAAAAACTTCCCTAAACAGGGCTGCCTTCAGATGTCTTTTAAAAATAAGATAGCTGCTTATTTCCTTTGACATCTGGTGGGAGGGTGTTCCACAGGACAGGAGCCACTACCGAGAAGGCCCTCTGTCTAGTTTCCTATAACCTCACTTCTCGCAATGAGGGAACTTCCTGAAGGCCCTAAGATCTGGACCTCAGTGTCTGGGCTGAACGATAGGGGTGGAGACGCTCCTTCAGATATACTGGGCCGAGACCATTTAGGGCTTTAAAGGTCAGCACCAACACTTTGAATTGTGCTTGGAAACGTACTGGGAGCCAATGCAGATCTCTCAGGACCGGTGTTATGTGGTCCCGGCGGTTGCAGTTTCCGGGTCACCTTTAAAGGTAGACCCACATAGAGCGCATTGCATTAGTTCAAATGAGAAATAACCAGAGCATGCACCACTCTGGCGAGACAGTCCGCAGGCAGGTAGGGCCTTTTGAGATGAGGTATTCCAAAAGGGGGGGACGCGGGTGGCGCTGTGGGTTAAACCACAGGTCGGCGGTTCGAATCCCCATGACGGGGTGAGCTCCCGTTGACTTAGCAGTTTGAAAGCACGTCAAAGTGCAAGTAGATAAATAGGTACCGCTCCAGTGGGAAGGTAAACGGCGTTTCCGTGCGCTGCTCTGGTTCGCCAGAAGCGGCTTAGTCATGCTGGCCACATGACCCGGCCAATAAAGCGAGATGAGCTCTGCAACCCCAGAGTCAGTCATGACAGGACCTAATGGTCAGGGGTCCCTTTACCTTTACTATTGCAGGAGGAGAGATGCTGCTGGGCAAGGTGGGCCACTCGCCTGGTCCAGCAGACCTTTTCCTACAAGGGACTACCAAAGCTCATCTAGACCACCCCTCCCGCAACGCAGGAATAATCAAGGCCCAACATTTGCACCAGCCTTTGCCATGCAGGCGCCTTGCAGATGTTCTGGCCTCTAACTCCCACGAGCTCCAGATTCTGCCCGCCGCCTGCGACTCAATTCGCCCTTTCGGACTCCCAGCAGGATCCAGAAGCGACGCCTCCCCGCCCCCTGCACAGCGCACGTGTGAATCCCCAGCGAAGCGCTCCGGAGGCGGGCACTGCTGTTTCCCCCACCCACAAACCGAGGCCGAGCCCACCCACCCCGGTGGGCCCTCCCCTCCTGGCCCAGCGCGGTGCCTGTGATTGATGGCCCGTCCCTCCGAGCAGCTCGCGCCCCGCCATGCAGGGGTGGAGACCCGATGGGGCGGGGATGGGCTGGGGCGGAAAAAGAGAGAGAGAGAGAAAAGGCGGCTCTCTGCAGCTCCGCTCCACGTCCCGGCCCATTGCAATTCCCTCCCCTCGATCAAAAACTTTCAGCGCAAGCAAAGCAAGCAGCGAGAGGCGCCATCTTTTCGCGAAGGGGAATCAAACTTTTCGCCGGGGTTGCTGCAAGGCCGGGAAAACCGGGCGCCTCTCGGGTTTGCCAGCTGGGCCCGACGGCGCGCACGGTCTCTCTTTGCAAGCGCAGCGGGGCAGGGGCTCGGCGCTGGCACGGGCCCTTTTTGCTTCGGGGGCCTAGCGGAGCCCCCAACTACTATTGACGGCCGAGTAAAGCGCTCCAAGGATCGCACTGCGCGGCTAGTCTCCGCTCTCCGATCCTAGGCAAAAAGGCTGCGCGCGCGCGGGTGCCGTCTGCAAAGAAGCCGGGTCTTTCCAACCCACCCGGGACTTCTTTATTTTGCAAGCAAGCGCGGCGGCTCTCAGTGGCTTCGTGTAAGGGCCGCTCCTCCAGCCCACCCTCCCTATGCAACTTCCCGGTCCCACCCTCCAGCTGCCATGCGTGGCTCTGGGTGGTTCCCCTCCCCCTCCCCCCGTTTGCAAATATAATGCACCCCCCTCAGCCGAAATCCGCCTCCAAGGCTCTAAGCAGTTTCTTGCCAAACGCGTTGGGGACTCTCCTTTTTCCGATCTCTGCAAAAATAATATTCCCTACACACGCCCCGCACTCCTGGCCTGCCCTGCGCAGGACGGCCGTATCTCTTTCTCCGCCCCAAAAGTCCACGAAGGAAGCAGCAGCGCCGCGAAGCCCTCGGCCGTCGAGTCTTTGCAACTTCAGCTAGCCGCCTGCCTCTCTCGCCCGCCCTCCGTGCTCCTGTGCGCCATGGCGGGACACACCCACCCGCTTCTCCTTCGCCAGATCCGACAGCGCGGCCGAGGCCGGGTGCAGCAGCACACGGGACGGGGCGGGAGAGCGAAGTTGCCGCCGCCTCCCGCCGCTTCTTACCTTTTGCAAAAGCTGCAGCCTGCCTTTGCTGCCGGCCGGGGAGCTCCTGCCGGCGCCGTCCTCGCAGCTCCTGCGACGGGACCTCCTCCGGATCGACGCCGGATCTTCCACCAGCACCGTGTAGACGGCGTTGCTGGCCGCCTCGGAGGAGGAGGAGGAAGGGGGGTACGGGGAGGCGAGCGGCTTGCAGGAGGCGGAGATCACCCCGCAGCACAAGCCGGGCGCCGGGGGGCTGCCGTCGGGGCAGCAGGGTCCGGCGGACGTCAAGCCGGGCGGCGGGGAGCAGATCCTGCCGCCGGAGGAGGCGAGGCGTTTGAAAAGACGCGGCTTGGGCTCCATGATCGGGGAGAGGGGGGGACGACGAGGAGGAGGGGGGCCTGCAAGCCCCCTTCCCCGCCGAGGGCGAGGGGGGCCGCCGCAGAAGCTGTGCGGGGTGAAGCCCCCCGCGCTGCCTCCCAGACTTTCCCTCCCGCCAGCTAGCCAAGCGAGGGAGAGAGAGAGAGAGAGGCTCCCCCCGGACCACGCCCCCCTCTCCTGCCCCACCGCCTGCTGCCCGCGCTGCCTTCGGCTTTTCCTCCTCCTCCTCCCGCCCCCTCGGAGCTCGTGCAAGCGGAGGGAGCCGGGTTAAAAAAAAACACACACGCGCGCACCTCACACACACACACATTTCTCTCCGCCGCACGCCATTGGTCCGCTCGCTGTATCAACATTCCGAAATGGAACGGTGCCCGGAGCCGGCTCGAGCGCTGATTGGCCAGCCCGGCGTTGCCAGTTGCAAACCGGGAGGAGACGGGGGAGGCGGCCTTCTAAGCCGGCACGCCTCCTCCTCCGCCTCTTGCAAGCGACTATAAAAAAAGGAAAGGAGGGCCGGTTGGTTGTTGGTCTATCTATGTGCATTTTTTTTCCGACGTATGTGTGCGTGCAATTTATTTATTTTATTTTTCTGAGCCAGAAAGGGGAGGTATCGCCTCGGGGAGGGGAAAGCCGGCCTTTCCGCCGCTCGCTCCAGCGGCCATCTTCGACGAGAGGGGGGCGGAGGCGGCCGGGAGACCGAGCGAGAGCCGCCTCTGCTTATTAAGATGACGGTTGCTGCTGCTTGACGTTGCAAAAAAAGAAAGAAAGCGGGGAGAGCACACGCCGCCGCTTTTAATACGGATTTTGTGGGGAGCGGGGTGTTCACCCGCCGCTTCCTCGCGATCCAGCTTCGGCTCGGTTTCTACCGAGGCTGTCAACATGTGTGATAGCTGCACGCAGGTGGCGGTGGTGGGCTGCCACAACTGGAATCCCCGCCGCCCAAATCCCTGCACGCAGAAAAGCAGCAAGTCAGGCCCGGACCCCTCCTCACTGGCGTGCTCGCGTCCAGCGCTGCTTGCTGTTTGTTTCGTATTGAGGAGCAACCAAACTGCACTCTGAAGCGAAGGAAACTCAAGCAGAGGAACACAAACTGTTGCTGTAGACCTGAAAGCCACCTTACATTTAAAGCACTCGGATACAACTTTAAAGAGTCACGGCTTCCCCCCAAAGAATCATGGGAAGTGTAGTTTGTTCAGGGTGCTGAGAGTTGTTGGGAGAACTCCTGCTCCAGATGTTTTCAACCTTATTGAGTCCATGGCTCCCTTGACCAACTACATCCTTTCTGGGGCATCCCTGTGGGGCTCAGGAGTCCAGTTATGTCCCCCCCTTGCCTGCAGAGCTGGAAGCCCCTCACCCTTTTTCGAACACCCTCCCTTGTGGAGGGGTCCCTCAGCCACCTCCCCTCGACTTGGGGGTCCTCCGGGCAGCTGCTGCTGCCGCCCCTGGTCTCTGAGCTGCCTCCCCCCACCCCAAAGAGAGGTGTCTCCTCCCACTGCCTCACAGGGGCCTGGGAAGCACCCCCTGGCCAGCCCCAGACGCACCATTTGCAAGGGGAGCTTGTAGCCAGGGCTGCTGCAACAAACAGCTGTGCAAGCCTTTGGGAGACCAAGAAGCGAGAGGGCATCAGAAGAGGGAGGGAAGGAAAGAGGGACAGATGTCTGTGTTGCCCACGGGACCCCTGACCATCATTCAAGGCACCCCAGGGGCCACGGCACACTGGTTGAAAGCAATGACCCTAGTCCCTGCACAGAGTGGATTAACCCTTAATCCCTCTTGAGAGTTGTAGCTCTCAGAGAGGAAGAGGGATTGTGACTATATTAAGTGACAACAGGGTCGTCTACTGAAGATCTGGCAGCTGAGGGCCACATTCCCTCGTGGGAAGCTTTCTAGGGCCACATGCCAAGGGCAGACAGAGCCAGGGGTAAAAGTAAGCCGAGCAAAGGATGTGACTCTTACAAGTTAGATATAGAGATAGAGATATAGATATAATATATCTCAAGTGGTTTGCATAAAAAACAATGAAAATGCAACAAAATTCAACAACTATTTTTAATAAAATAAATGGAATGCAGCACCCTTCCACTGTGGCTTCCACTGTGGTTCTGCAAAGCCCCACAAATGAATGGTGGTAGATTTTACTCTTAATTCATTAAAGCCAAACATCTAATCAGCTGATAGGTTTGTCAATAATTTGAAAATATTTCCTTGTGCATAAGCCACTTAAAAGTTTTTTAATGATTAAGCAGTATATAAAGCATTATTATTATTATTATTTGACAAAAATCAAATCCTAAAAGCCTTAAGGTAAGCAAAAGAGTCAGACAAATTTGGAGAAATGTGGTATCGTTTTATTAAATTCACTACTAACAAAGAAAGCAAGTTTATTCCACCTCAAAGTTGTGGTGATTTGTGGATAACTGATCTTGGCTTATTCTCTTCATTTCTTATTTGAGTCCGAATGTCTGTTTCTTTGATTTTCCCTTCGTTGTCACTGATATCCAGATGACATCTTGACCTTGCGTTAATTGCTGTAATCTGTTACTGTGCCGTTGTTATTATTGTTTGTTTGTGAAACTTAGTAAAAACTTTAAAAGATCACTGTAAAAAAATAAATAAATCAGATTTCTACCTCTCACCAGAGCCACCACAGACATATCTGAACATGTGCAAGGACCCGTTGCCAAAATATCCCATAATTGCTGGCGAGGGACAGGAGGAGAGGGCGAGAGACAGCTCCTACGCACCTTCTCTGGCCTCTGACCACATTCTCATACCTGCACGCTCTTAAAAGCAAAAGATCATGATCTGGCCCTGGTAGCTTTGATAGGATTTTTATGGTCTTAGATATATGGTAATGTTCATAAGTGTACCAACCAAGCCCAGGAACTAAGTATTTATCATTACAAAAGACTGGCCAGGCTCCCCAGGCAATCCAATCAAGTAACCTGCCAAACAGGAGATAAACAACCTGTTTTAAGACCACCTTTTCTGTGATGTAGGTATGATGTATCTGAGGGGTGGTCTTAGGTTACACCCCTTCTGTGATGTATGTATGATGTTTCTGGGGGTGGTCTTGATCTGTTGTTGTTGTTTAGTCGTTTAGTCGTGTCCGACTCTTCGTGACCCCATGGACCAGAGCACGCCAGGCACCTCTGTCCTCCACTACCTCCCGCAGTTTGGTCAAACTCATGCTGGTAACCTCGAAAACACTATCCAACCATCTCGTCCTCTGTCGCCCCCTTCTCCTTGTGCCCTCCATCTTTCCCAACATCAGGGTCTTCTCCAGGGAGTCTTCTCTTCTCATGAGGTGGCCAAAGTACTGGAGCCTCAGCTTCACGATCTGTCCTTCCAGTGAGCACTCAGGGCTGATTTCCTTAAGAATGGATGCGTTTGATCTTCTTGCAGTCCATGGGACTCTCAAGAGTCTTCTCCAGCACCATAATTCAAAAGCATCAATTCATTGGTGATGTGCCTTCTTTATGGTCCAGCTCTCACTTCCGGTCTTGATCTACAGGGTGGCAATTTCAAAAGTCTTTATAAGGCCTTCCGCGCCATTTTTCTGGGTTCCTCCTCCTCTCCTGCAGGTGAGGGGACCACCCTGTTGCAACAGTTCAATAAAGATCAAGCTTACTAGCTGCTTTGCTTCTCAATATTCTCTGGTTGGCCTCTGTTATTCTCTCCTACCAATAGGGAACCTACATAAGGACTCTATATGGGCTCTTGGATACCCCATAAGGGAAAAGGGCCATTTTTGTTTACAACATAGCCCCACAAGGGACAAATTGCTGACCTACTTCCCAAGACTGTTGCAATGAAAAAGATCAGGAAACGCTTGGCATGGGTTGCTGCTGTTGTTTTCAACACACACACACACACACACTGCTACACACATGATTCCTAGCATCACATTCCAGCTAAGAGGCTGGAGGCCACAGTTCCTTCATGATCAAGTGGGTTAATAATTAAGAATCGTTATCTAGGTACTGCCGGTAGTTCCTTCATGTGGAGACCAAAGTTGGCGGCTTGTCTTGTTTGAGCAACTTGTGCATTCCCCCTTCGCCTCCATGGCATTCAGATTCAAGGCGGGAAATGCTGCTTTCATGTAGATGGAAGAGCCGCCATCAATACCTTACCTGGGAGCCAATCAGTATCAACCCACCAGCAGCTAAACGGAGGTAAACGGAGTGCATCTCGGTTTCCTTCATCTCTGCAGTGGAGTGCCAGAAACCCAGTTTCGGGACTCCAAGCCAAGAGGGTAACACTTGCCAAGGGAACAGCATCTCACTGGCCACTGTAATAACAGGATCCCTCATCCAGCAGGCCCTTCTTATCTTAATGGTTTGCTTCGTACACAGGGGGGAAACTGAGGCTGTAGTCGCCAGACTACAGTTCCGATCACCCACCAACAGTCATCGCCTGGAGGACTAGGCTGCACCACAAACGCTGCAAACCTATAACCATTATTTACTTTCAGGATACGTCCCACAGTGACCTGGAAGTACTGGAAAGGGTTACTTTCAGGTTTCGCAGCTCGTGCATGTGCAGGCGTGCAAAATGAGGTCAAGCGCATGTGCAGAAGCGGCGAATCATGACCCGCGCATGTGCAGACACTGGTTGCTTTCTGCTCATGTTGCGAACGGGGCTCCGGAACGGATCCCGTTCACAACCAGAGGTACCACTGTACAACACATGTTGGCAGATGGGCTGATGGGAGTTGTAGTCCCAAAATCTGGAGGACGTCAGGTTGGCAAAGGCTGATCTAAGTGAATGCTTATCCACACTTCCGTTTGCCACGTTGCTTTCCCCTGGGGAAACACACCTGTTTTAATGCTGAATGGGAACAAACGGCAACTGAGTTTTACGCAGTTTGCCATTTGTTTTGATTTACCTCTAAGGAGTGGGTTTTCCGGGGAAAAGAGGCGGTACAAAGGTAAAACTGCTTGGGCCCATACCTAGAAAGCCCAGGGCAAGCGGGAAACTGCTTGGGCCCTTGCTTTCTAAGTTAGCAGGAATGTTGACAAACCCACGGATGATCCTTCTACCCTAGGAAGCAAGCATGCTAGAGAAAACAATCTCCCTGACACCCTAGCTTTCTACATGCAGGGAATGCTTAGTACATGGAGGAGCATTCCGTCATGTGAAGTCCCACTCGCAATTTAAAGTGGTCCA